CTTTTCAATGATTTAGAGTTAATATTTTCAAATAAAATAACTTACAAACACTTCACACACATATATATGTATACATATATATGTATATATATATGTATATATATATGTATATATATATGTGTGTGTATATATATATACACAAAATAAAAAAAGCAAGCATGCTTTATTTCATACGGTGGTCCTTTAATATATGGAAAATAAGTTCCTTCAGACAATTTTTTCTTGAGTGGATTTGAAAGACATAAATTTGACATTTTACATAAACCTATAAATTTAAGTATTGTTTTATAATGCAAATTATCATCCCCTAATTTACCTATCATTTTGTAAGCTTGTTATTTTCATAGATTCTTCAAAGCAGTGTCTTTATTAACTAATATGTTCTTAATATTTGTTAAGTGGGAAAAAATTAATTTAATTTTAAATGTAGTTTTCTCAGAAAAAAAGTAAAATAAATGCATGAGATAGTCCGAAGAAAGCTCAACTCCTGGAATGAAAATGAAAATTATGTTAAGGTTTTAAGGAAACTTAAAGGAGCAAAATACACCATACCGAGTTTGTGTGCATTCAAGTTTGATCATGCTACATCTGCTTAAAACCTCTTTATGGTTTTCTTCACTGTGTCCAAAGTCCATGCATCTTAACGTAACATAGAAAGAGATCACCTTCTCTGGTGTTTGTCTTCCCTGTACATCACTTTTATATTCCAAACTATATTTGCCTCTTGACTTTCATAGAATGAATTCGCCCAACCTCAGAATCAAATGTTGACAGTTGTGGTGTGAAGAATTTATAGTTATCAATTTATGTGATTTTCTTCATTGACACCCTTAAAGTGGTGATCTACATTTATTGACAGAAAATTGTCTATTCTTAAATGTTGAGTGATGAAAAGGGTTATAGAGAGAATATACGGTATGAGTCCTTTTATGTGAAATATTAAAATGTGAATGTGTATATATGCATAGAGAGATTCGTAAAGGTGCATTGAAATGTGTGTTGAAATGTATAAATGTATGTATGTGTGTATATTATGTATACACACACCGAAATGTTAATAGTGGCCATGTCTCAATGGTAGGACGTTGAGTGAAATTTGCCTTCTTTTTTGTATATTTCTGAATTATTTTATTCTGAGCACAAATCATTTTACAAGGGCAATATGTCTATTTTCTTAAAATGTTTACCTCTACTTAAATATCTCAAAAAAGGTTAGGGCTTATGTCTTTTCTGTGTCTTTCAAAACCTACCAGGCTTCTTTGGGAGTTATGCAGGACAACTTTCAGGATAAATCAGTAAAAACTTGACAAGAAATGCCTTTGGAGCCATTGTGATAAGGTGATAATCTAATAGTTCAGGTCATTTTTATAAATAAGTATTGGTTCAACAACAGTAAAAATCAGTTACCTCAGAAACCAGCTAAAGACTTTATATATAGAGTATCCTTAAGAACCTCTGGGACACCTAACTGAAACATAGCAACATATAAAATAATAACTTTTATTCTTGTGTTCCGATATGTCTCTTGTGTATGGCAAAAATCATGAAAGCATGTATAGTAAAAAGTGAACATATCCTATAAATATAGTGTCACTTAAGCAGTAGGTAATTGCTTACCAAAGATATCCTATAAAATGAATGTTCGTTTTGCACTTGATGATTTGTGTCTAATGAGAACCGCAAAGAACTTGGCATATAATGAACTCCAAAGAACTGTAGACCAAACCTGTGCACTAAGAGATCTGACTGATTCTTAGCATGGCTTCTAGTAGCCTAAGGCCGAGTCTCTGGGCTGACCCAGCCCCTTTTTGAGTTTCAGTCTGGAAAAAAATTCAGGACTGTCAGAAGAATTTACCATTTGTTCTAGCCAATACCTAGGGTTAGGCCCCAGACCTCTATTTCTTAACGCATTCACTTACAATTATGAATCCTTCCTCCTTCCCTTTGAGATGTATGTGTATCTTCTATTACTCAGAAGTATCTTTCTACAGAACCTGAAAGCTATTTCTTTGAAATGTAATTTATCAGGAAGAATGGGGCCACTGTCTCCCAGTTTCAGTAAGAGGATAAAATCCTAACTTAGTTAATTGCCAGCTACCAGACACAACTGGCCTAACCATTTTTTACACAACTC